CAACTGCTACCTTCCCTATACTAGTCCCTAGGGTGGATTTATCTGAAGAAAAAGGAACTCATTAGTGCCATTTTGGCAAAGCAATGATCCGTGCTAATAGGGACAAATTCAAAGCTTTCAAGAATACTATAATGCCTTAAACATGAGTCAGTTAAGCACACAGCGATCAAAGTCTGACTTCCGAAAATCTCTAACCTGATCACTTTGCAAGTTCTGGGAATATGGCCTCACACCACATACCCTATATTATCAATGGTTTAAGTGACAAAAACTCTTACTTGAACTATTCTACGTCCTATGCCATTGGCAGTCAAACAAGTTTAAAGTGCTGCAATGTATGCATTCTTCGAGTTCAAGATGCGTATAAAACGCTAAGGGGACTTTGACAAAGGAAAAAGTGCAAATAAATCTCTACTTTTGCATTTTCCAGCATTTTCCGATACCATTGCAATGCATTGTAATCAAACAAACTGCTTCATGGTAAGTCCACATGAGTAGCGTAAATTCGTTAGTGCATAGACGAAAGGATTTTTTTATACCCGAGCGCACTTGTGCACAAGGGTGTATTAACTTTGTTGTTGGTTGGTAGTTATTTGTAACAGCCAAAACGAATGAAAAGAGAAATCGATTAAGCCATTTCTGTCTGTCCGTCCGCCCGTCCGTCCGTCCGTCCGTGTACACGAAAACTCGAGCAAAAATTGAGATATCTCAACGAAATTTGAAATGTACGTTTCCATTCATCCAAGATAGGTTGGTATTGAAAATGGGCGAAAACGGACTGTAACCACGCCCACTTCCCATAAAAATAAATATTTGATGCCAATTGTTGAAAACTAGTACGTGAAGTAGAATTGTGGTAAAAAATAATATTATTATAAATTTTTGGATAATGGGCGTGGTACCGCCCACTTATGACCACAAATGTGTATCTCGGTAACCGATGAATCCACATTTCAAACTTCGTACAAAAATTATGAAAATTCAACAAACTTAAACATTTGCACCCGAAAATTTTAATCTTTTTATTCAGAACTTTAAACAAATTTGGGGTATGTAGTTTTGTGGCTCAATGAATTTAAATAGGTTAAAATTCAAATTTGAAGACGCTAGAAAATTACATTGATTTTTAAATATTTTATATGGACGAAAATGCACAATACCGTCAGCCAAAAAAAATATTTAAAATCAACGCGATTCTCTAGAGTCTTGAAATATAAAATACTAAAATTTAATGAGCCACAAAATTACATACCCCAAATTTTTATAAAATTTCTGAATAAAAAGTTTAAAAATTTAATAATTAGGTAAAAAGTTAAACTTAAAAAAATACGAATATTAAATAAACAAAAGAAAAATAGCCAAAACTAGTCAAAATATCACTTGACTTAATCAGCTGACCGATTTACCTCAAATTCAAACTATATTTTGGGAGCCAGAAAGAAAATATCTTTTCAAAATATTCACTCGGCAGGTGGCGCAGTACTAGAAGGAGAAGACTTAAAAAGACCGTTGTTTCTAAAACTCGTAATTATTGTTCGATTTAGTTAATATTCGAAGTAAATATGGGTAACAGAAAGAGAAATACTTTTTCAATAAAAATCCGCTGCACTAAAATCAGAAGTTACGATGATCTTTAATAGCTGCAGAGTTGTTCCGCTTGACGCAACGTTGACAAACAACGGACCAATTTTCTGTAGACTCAAGCATGATATCCACAAGATTATTAACCTTAAGCGGCCTCCCCACCTTTATGCTCAAGTCGTTCCCTTGGGTTGCGAACTGCGGACAGACGAAAAAACAATGTTCAGCGTCTTCGATTACCTGTCCTGTACAGAAAGTGCAGTACGGATCGTCTTCGTGCATAAATCTGTGCAAGTATGCTTTAAAGCAGCCGTGTCCAGTTAGTATTTGGGTCAGGTAGAAATCAACCTCTCAATGTCTTCTGGCAGGCAATTTGCTTCTACTCGGAGTAAGTCTATATGTCCAGCGTCCGCTAGTTGAGTGGTCCCAGCGGTCCTGCGACTGCTGCAAACAATTTCGTATCATCCTTTAATTCTCGTGCTTATCAGATGTTGCAACTATTTGTTTTGCCGCTATGTCAATAGGGCAGAGGCGTGCTACTACTAACGCAGCTTCCTCTGACGTTTTTCGGAAAGCGCAACATACTCTTAAGGCGCAAAGTCGGTACAGTGATCTAGCTTCCCGAACGTAACGGAAAGGCGAAATACATATATTTAATACTTGTGTCGGGTATTTAATGTTCGGCTCCGCCCGAACTTAGACTTTCTTACTTGTTACTATACAATAACAGTTTTGCCTTCAACATTATTTTGGTTTTGGAAGCGTCGCGAAGCACGTCGGACATTTTCTAGTTTTTAATAAAACAATCATATATGTATATTATCGGGCATTTCAAATATCTAAAATTTATATTTCGTCCCTCAAAACGTCAAAATTTTCTTGAACAAAATACACAAAGTAGCTTTTAAATTTTACCTTAATTTCATTTATGTTATGACGACTGGAAATTCAATTTATCCTTTTTTACAGTTTCAAGCTGCCTTGCTGCAACGCTGGAATTTGCCTTGGTTCATGTGTGGCTTTTGTCCTTTCGTGCAGGCATTGACTGTGAATGTGTCGGTATTCACACTCACTGCAATTGCAATTGACAGGCATCGTGCTATAATCAATCCATTCAGGTAATTCTTAGAAATGAAAATTCTGCAAAATATATATATTTATATATGTATGTATAGGTTATTTCAATCAACTTACGTAAAAGTAAAAGAAAATTGTACTATAAATGCATATGTATGTACATACATACATTCATATACCATTGGAAGTTGACTTTGTAAGAAAAATAGTTAAGACATTAAGTTAAAGTCGTTCTAACGTTGTATAGTATATGACATTCAATAGCAAATCCTACTTTCTTTAGAAACGTTATACCATTCTTCCAATAAAAAAAAATATGATAATGGCAATTTTTCAATATATAGCATATTAGGGTGGTACTTAAAATATAAATATCTAAATATTATATGAGCCACCCTTTTATCTGGCTCTACATACAAAATAAAGACATCCATGAGAAATTAATTATTTTTTTTAACCGCAAAAATTTTAACATCAAATTTTATCAATTTGACTCATTACACTATACGGATAAATCAACCAAAATTTATAAACGTGCCTGTGAATCCTTTTTCTGAGGTACTAAACTGTGGAAAGCTCATTGAACGACATTCTACTAGAACTCAACAAAGGAGGAGTAAACTCTCACGGAAATTTTAGAAAGAGATCTGAGGGGGACTCTCAAAAAGCAGCCGTTATCACTTTCCGAGCCGATGTTGTTTACCCAGAAAGCGATTCTAGTCCCTTACTTAAATGGAACGACTGTCACATTATATGCGTAGTCGAGGTACGAGGTACCTGGACGCGTTGTACTATTGTTTTGAAAGAAAAATCTCAGGAGATGCATAGAAAAAACCTACTCATCCCATTTGGCAGGCAAGAGTGTTGGGGATTGAGAGAGCATAAAATATGATATAGTAAAAAAAAGCCAACCAAACTAAGAAAAACTGGTTTTGGCATAGCAAAAAAACCCCACAAGATCCTCTTTGGTAAACACCTCGTACCTCAAAACACTCTCAAACAATACTCTCTATAAATAACACAAAATCGTTTTTGATAATTTTTCTAAGGAATATTACAGATTAAGTACTTTTTAGTTAACTAGGAATAATGGGCCATATGAATGAAAATTAAGCAATTACGTTTTCTTAGATTTTTAGACCTTTTACTTAAATTTATTTGAATAAGTCGAGTAAATGGTTTGGACTTTTAAGAAAAAGCAATTGCTTAGTTTTTATTCATAAGGCTCAATACAAAATGAATGGTAGTATTTTAATGGCTATTTCGCCAAAGTGCCGTCGAATTATCCGAAGAAATTAATAAAATAGAAATTCAAAAATAATAGCATCTCTCCAGGAAACTTTTGAAAACTTTCTCCAAAGCAGTTAAAGTCCGTTACCTCATCATATTTGCATACTTTATGAATATGATAAATGCCCTCAATTTGCCAAGAATTTTCGCAAAATTATAAGACTTCCTACTGAAAATAAAATTTTCCTGCTAATTTTAGAGCTCGTCCCACAATGTTGGTGTCCAAATTAATACTCGTCGGCATTTGGCTGGTGGCGCTTGTTTTCGCAACACCATGCGCCATAGCGTTCCGTGTGGAATTGGAGCATGAACGTTACAGTGGTAAGAGGTTACATATGTACATACATACATACACTGCCGGAACAAAGTATTGGCACAGGAAATTTTTCACAATATCTGCAGCAATTAATTAAAATTAAATAACTCTGAACTCAATAGCTCAATGGGCTGCAAAACTGCATACCTGAAAAAAATTCTAAAAAAATCAGATTAAAAAGTTGAAAAGTTGCATGAAAATTTGGGGAATTTTCGCGAGTTTAGCACAAAGCTTAGGAATTATATTTTTATTTTATTTTTCTTGTAGAATGAACCATTATTTTATACAAAATGGGCGGAAAAATATTAGAATAAAAATTGTTGCATATATTGTGAAGAATTTGCTGTGCCAATACTTTGTGCCGGCAGTGTACATATCGGCACACGATCTTCAAAAGTGTCACGACTCAAAATTTGGCATTTTTGAAATGATGCACTATAAACGTAAACAGATTTGTATTTATCTTTTAGTAAAAGCTGGAGGAAGTTTTTCTTATAATTGGTTGAAAATCCCTAAGGTAAAGTCTTCCTTGCTCATATGATTAGCATGTGCTAAGAAATAGTTTTTCGCCTTTTCTGACTAATGTGTATTTTTGAGTTGTGCCACCTTTGAGTATCGTGTGGGATACATAGAACAAATCCTACTTTGCAATTCAGAACAGTTTGAATGTGCACTGAAATTGTGTTGTTGTGTTGTTTTTTTTTCAATTCCACAGAAAATGGTATAATATTCAATGCCACACGACCATTTTGCATGAATAAAAATCTCTCTGAGGCACAATTGCAAACATACCGTTACACATTGGTCTTTATGCAGTACTTTGTGCCGTTTTGCGTCATCTCTTTTGTTTACATACAGATGGCGGTGCGTTTGTGGGGCACACGGGCGCCTGGCAATGCACAAGACACGCGCGACACAACATTTCTGCGTAACAAAAAGAAGGTAAGTTACCTGTGAAGTTCAGCATAATAGGTAGAAATACTTCCCAGTACTAATTCATTGCGGTAAATGATACTTGTAGTTGCGAGCATAAGGGCGGCACTTTTTCTTGATACTATGTGGCCGTAGCGTACAACTAGCGTTAATTTGATCTATTTTGCTGCTTCAATATCCGTTTTTTCTCAGCCATTTATTTTCCCATTTAATCTGTAATCTCATTTCGTTCTCATTTATTTATTTATATTTTTTCGTCTTTTCGTTTTGACAGGTTATAAAAATGCTCATTATCGTTGTGGTTGTATTTGGTTTCTGCTGGCTTCCGTTGCAACTGTACAATATTCTCTACGTAACCTTTCCAGAGATTAATGAATACCATTTCATAAATATTATTTGGTTTTGCTGCGATTGGCTAGCGATGAGCAATTGCTGCTACAATCCCTTCATCTATGGAATTTATAATGTGAGTAGAAGAAAATTATAGAGGCACATGTGCCTGCGTTTGTGCGTGGCTATGTGCATCCAGTAGGAAAAGAAGCACGTAATAATGCCTTACACCACTGCCACTTTTCTAGATGATATTTTTCGCCTTGTGTTTTCATATTTATACCCGAGCGCACTTGTGCACAAGAGTACTATGGAAATCTTAAGCCAATGATGCAAGCTGATTTCTTATATTAAGGGCACCGAATAGCTCAGGAAAAATATAAAATCTTTTCACTTGGAAAAAAATTAATTTCCCGAAGTATGTATGTACATGCACTCTATGGGAATTGTGTCTATTATCTTTTTGGGCAGTTAGACCGAAGATAATTAGACTTTCCAGCGGGAAAACGCTAATATTCGTACCGATCGAACATCTGAATCGTCATTCAAGGAAAAAAGACCCGTCTTTTAGAGTAAATACGAACACTGAGTGTCCTGTGACCTCAACTAGTAAGCTCACCATCCAGCGTACGGCGTAGTAAGTTGAGTGTAGATATCTCAGTCAGTTGTCAGTTTGTCAGTTTGACAACTTAAAGTAGGCCAAGAGTTTCACTAAAACACAACCCTCTAAAGCCAACCACAAAATCTACTATTCATTGTCATCCTACTCTTGTCATCTTACCATCTCAGCGGTCAGAGAGCATTAAGTATCGTAGAAAAAAATCAGTAGGCGAGGTCAGTAATTCCGTGCATCCGTATTGTTTGGTATGTATGGGCTTGATGGCCAGCGGGTTGGCCCAAGAACTTCACTAGACCATGCCCCTCTAAAGCTAGACAAAATCAGTGGACAAATTCGATATAATGCTGGTTATCGACATCATTGTACATGAAATGGAGCAGGTTACTAAGCGTCAACGAGCGATGGAGGAAGGCCGAGTACCAGCGCCATAAATAACTACGTTGACCGCACGGAGTCAGAGGATCAAAGGCACCATAGAGGAAAGTAATAAAGAAAGTAGTAGGCTCAGTCAGATCTATAGCGGCAAAAAGTAGGCATGATTGCAATTACAGTGATTATTTGGACCGGCATAAGCTGATGTTGATATTGGACATCATTGTCACTCATACGCCCTGGCATTCGGGTGACTTATAGGCCAATTCTGGCTAAGATATGTATGTAGTTGAAAGTCTTTTGTAAGACAGTAGGCAAGAAAGTAGTTTGAAAGATTTTGGTTATTCTGGCCTGTAAGTCCTACGCAAAAAAATCTCCCTTGCCAGATTTCATGGCGAAAAGCTCCTTTGACGGCCACAGTGGCCGAGTGAGCAAAGCGCTGGAGTGCCATTTTGACAGATCCGAAATTAGAGGCCTTGGAATTTTTTTCTAGTTTTTAATTTATTTATTGTTCGTTTTTTTCTTTTTTTATTTAATTCTTCTTAAATTTTTGGATTCTATTGTTTTAAAAGGAAAAATATATAATTTTTTAATTCATTTAATTTTTAGAAACTTTTATTTTTTAATTATTCTTTTTTATTAATCTTAATCTTTTTTAATTTATATTTTTATTTGCTTTAAGGAGAAATATAAATATTTGTTATTTTAATGTCGTATAATTTTTACAGGCTTATATTTTTTGATTAAATTTTAATTAATTTTTAGAATTTGTTGTTTTAAAAAGAAAAATATATTTTTTAATTTTAATTATTATGAACTTACCTTCTTAATTTGCTTTTTTATTTATATATTATATATTATATAAATAAGGATACGTTTTATGGCAAACTTCCATTTTTTCTGCATGGGAGATATCAAGCATATCGAATCTCGAAAGAAGCGCTTATATTCCAGCACACCCCCTTATAAATGCAATTGCACCTGTTTTCTCTTTGAAAATTGAAATTACAGAGCACTAACATGTTCGTATTCGAAAGAAATGCATTCACATTTTCATGAAAGTAATACAGAGATAAAATAGAGAAACTTACTCTTGAATTCTCTTTATTAAATAGTCGAACTCTGACACCGTTATAAAATGTCAGGAAAGAAAAGAACTAACCAGAATACTTTGACTGCTTTCAGATGAGCTTGAGGCGATTCTGTGTGGAAATTTTCATACATCAATAGTTACATACTTTTTCCAATTTTTTTTTTTAGGAAAAATTCAAACGCGAATTTAACAAACGTTTTGCTACTTGCCTTTGTAAAACCCACACATTACTAGATGGCCAAGAGCGTACGCAATCGATGCATACGCGAGTAAGTTCAGTACGATCCAGCAGCATTGTGCCGCCAAACTCATCAGTGCGTGTGGGGAACAACTTTTATGGAGCCAAAATGCCAACGACAACCTTTTCCAATAATAATATCACTTCATATGGCAATGTTTCTGGAAATAATGAAATAGATGAACAATTACATTTAATAACATACGATACTCGGATACAAAGAGATATTGGCCAGAACAATTGCGGTTTAACAAACACGTACAAGAATAATTCTAAGAATTTTCACTTGCAACAAGCTGATGCTATTCAAAGAAATGAAAATGAACAAGATGAGCTGTTATAACTAAAACATTGATAGTGTATGAAGATAGTGCTTCATCAACGCGCTAGACAACATACACACTTATGCAGACATTTAATAGATATACTAAGAGCTTAATATGCGCTTTCGATGAAAGTGCGTCCAATACGTGTAAATATGTAGTATGTATGTAGTTGTAGGAATTGCGTAAGATTTTATATTTAGTACTGAAATTCTTAATGTGTTGTTAGAGTTATGCGAAGCAATGTGTATGTACGAGAATGTTTGTTTATAAAAAAAAATACTTTCAACTTCAATATTCACAACTTCTCATTAATATCTGATAATTTCTTGGAAAAAAATGTAGCCAAGCAAAATCTGTGATTAAAACATTCATCTCCTTGTGTTAATCAAGAAATCGCTTTTTATTTATTTTATCTTTAAAAATAGCACGTATATACATTAATCTTAACTGAAAAAACAAGCTTTTAGTTTTAATATTTTTTGTAAGTCTAGTCTTTACAATAAATGCCAAGAAATATGTATATTTATTTATTTATTATTATACGGGTAATCTCTTCGCCGGTAAAATGTCCAACGATCGTTTTTTTTCTTCTAAATTACCTCCTTATCTTGTGTTAGATAAGTTGTTTGAATAACTTTACACTGCATACATTTAGGGGTAGGATTGCCACCTGTCTAAAAATTAAAACGAGCTAAATGTGTAATTTCAGTCAAATATCGCATTGTAAATATGTATCTAATGAAAGCTTTAAAAAGTTAATTGAATCGACCATATTAAAAAAAAATTGTTGACAAAAATTACCATCCATCAAAGAATTTTTAAATTTTTTGGGTTCGTTAACATTTTAGAATTGGTATTTCAACTCTATTTATTTAAACCCTCAGTATAAAAATGTATGTCAGTGGCAACAATTTTCTTATTGTACCCATCTCGCAATATTTCATTTAATTTTGAATTTTTATTCTTAACTTTTTAGATTGGCGACAACGCAAACGAGAAATGTTTCTAAGCCGAAAATTTCTTAAATACTTTTCGTTTGATAACAAAACAGAAATATTCAATATATCTTATCAGTTTAATTTAATTTAATTTTTCAAACAGGTGGGAACTCCCTTTAAAAATATTTTCTAAACTAAGGTTTCTTAAATTGCTTCATTTTGACAACCTTGCTGCAAGACTTCATATCCCTTAAATTAATTGAATTCGATGGAAATACTTTTAAAACAATTTTGGAAACTAAGCTTTCTTAAGCTGCTTTGGTTGTATACCCATATTGTAATATAATATGTATAATCTTATCAATTTAATCGAATAACCATTTTTAAACATGTGGCAACCCTCTTTTTCTTCCAAACGTTAAAACTTCTCACTTAATATCAGAATTTTTTTCATGAAAAATTTTTAATTTTTCTTTTCTTTGAAGAGCCTATCATTTAACAATTCCTAAATTCCGCATACGGTTTTTAAGGTCGGCAACGCGTTTTGAAAGTGCAGAAAAACCACAATTTTTTCTGTTACTGTTCATGTTATTCCACTGTTTGTCTTAGTTGGTGTTAACCTACCCACCCCTTTTGTCTTGTACCACTAAGAAGCACTGTCCGTATGCAGCAGTTTAATGCTGGTTATTCGATATTAGTTGAGAGGTTCGCCCTCTATATGCCGCTACTTTTCAAGAAAACGGACTTTCCACCTCTATCCTCACGAATTTGCAACTGTTCCACGCTTTGTGCTTTCGCTGCGGTTTTAAGTGTTGATCCTGCCGCGCGATTCTTATTTGGGACATCTCCTAGGTCGCGAGATCCAGCGGATATGAACCTGCGATAATGAGTGCTGCATCCTCGGAAATAGTTAGGTAAGCTGAACATACCCTAAGAGCACTTAAGCGGTATTGATGTCTCGTATGTAAGAAGCTCGTTTGAAAGCGTCACGCCAGACTGTCGATCCGTAAAGGAGTATTGTCCTCACCACCCCTGCCAAGACTTGTCTAGCCTGCTGCCGTGACCCGCCTATGTTCGCAGTTAATCTAGACAGGGTTGCTGTTGCCATCGCCGCTTTCTTGTTTGCTGATTCCAGGTGGTCCAGCGCAAAGGCGGTGGTCAATCAAGACGCCCAGATATTTTACACACGGCTTGGACTCTATAATTGTGTTTTTTTTTCATCTTATCTCGGCTACTGATAAGAACGGCTTCCGTCTTGTGGGCTGCTAACATTAGAGAGTTTTCTCTTAACCACTCCTCAGCTACTTTTATAGCTCTCTCTGCGATGGATGCTATTTTGGCCAGCGTCTTAGATCTTACGACGATGCAAACGTCCTCCGCGAAGCCTATGAATGTCGCCCCTTCGGAACACCATGCCGGAGGATGCCATAAAACATGGGCCTAACACTGAACCCTGAGGGACACTTGCCGATACGTCATACTCCGCAAATCCAATGTCGCTGTGGTAGCGCAACACTCTATCGCTGAGATAGCTGGAGACATAAATCTTGAGGTATATGTGAATGATTTACGCAGATTGTCAGAAAATAAGTTCCTACAAAATATCTGGCTTTAATTGCAAACGATATCAGAATTTGAGAAATTTTTTCGTGATAGGCTTTAGGCGAGCACCTGGTGGACTTGCTTGCTTGACTTCGTTGTAGTTTTCCCGCTCCATCTCCATAAGCTTTTCTAGGTTCAATACTATCTTTGATCAAAACTCGTATTCAACGCTTTTGGAAACTGGTGACGTATTCCAATTTCTTCAGCGCTCCTGCTGACCCATTGACATTGGTATTCATGGAAGAATGTAGGCCTTTATGCAGACTGTTGTCCCTCGCAATTAGCTCAGGTGCCTGGTCGACAGGCGCATATGCCAGTAAGTACTTGGATAAGGTAAGTTGACATTAAATGAGGTCTAATTGGAGAACAGAGTAAATATATAGGAATTCTTTCGCTGACTCCGAAATATGTAAGTTTAGTGTTTTTCTTTTAGTTTCCATACGGTGTTTTTTTATGGAAAGACTTCCCTGCCCGACGGGAACTCTTGATCGGCTAACGCATTCGTATGGCTATGAGCAGATCTGCATTACTTCTGGAAACAATACTGCATATTTTTGTATTTCATTAATGTTTGTAATAGTTTTTTGGCCGAAAAACCAGAGCCCGATAAATTTTCCAAGTAATATGGGATCCAGAAAAACAGGGTAAAAGTAATTTTTTCAAACAAGTTGCCGTCACCATGAATCTTCTCTCATTTCCTTTTAGCAATTAAATGGAAATCCACCGAAATGCCTTAAGCAGTAAGGCGTTTTTCAAGTTTTCGGCGCTCTATTTAGCCATAATAAAAATGGTTTTTAAATGACATCGTGGCTGCCTAGAGCCATTTTAAATAACTTTTTCACGTAGTTTTTAATAAACAAAAAATCAAAATAAAATACTAAATATTCACGGTATTCCCTCTGTTTTCCACTTTCCTCACTAAAATCGACAATCATGATTGTAACCATTGCCAGTATCGTGACTGTAAACATTATCCTTAATAATTCGTAAATGGCAAAATGAAAGCAAAATGTGAAAGCAACAAGAATCGCCAATTCACGCAATTTACTTGTCCCACACTTGTTAAAAGTCAAGCCCGGAGCACCACATTATTTATTGCGTAAAGAGATTTGCCCAGACAGATTACATCACCTAAGAAACAAATACCCAATAAATCGCAATCAAAAGCTCCTAGGTCATTGTTATTTTAACCGAATTGCAGAGTAAGAAGTGAAAAAGAGAAAAATAAATAAATTACAGTCATTTAGAACTTACAATCGGATAGACTGGAATTTCTACTTAATGACATTTTACACGAAAGAAACTGTTTGTTTTAATATAAGTACTTACTAGTTTTCCGTCACTCGCTTCTCTGCGTGTATGAAATCTCTGCGTGCTACATATTGTGATACATTTCCTAGTTCACTTACTGTGTGTAATAATTCATTTTACTTATTAAATAATTTTAATTGGATTTAGTTTTAAAACAGGTGGCAACCCTTTTCAAACCCCTCAAAATTAGTTTTCTCGATTTTTAAACTAAAGATTTCTTAGCACTCTTTTGACGCCCATATTTTAATCTTTCATATAACTTGTAGGTACTTTAATGAAATTGGACATTTCAAACAGGTGGCAACCTTCTTGTTAATATTCAAAAATCACAACCTTTTAAATATTTCAATTATCCAATTCACACAATTTAACTTAATTTTGACGTTTTAAACAGGGGGGGAGCACTCCTAGTTCATAAGCTGTTCAAAACCATGTCCATTGATGCCCATATTGTAATAAATTATTTAACTTATTTAAAAATATGAAATTAACTTTTTCCACAGGTAGCCACCCCCTTCAAAATATTTTCAAGCTACCAACCTTTTGGACATCTTATTTTTATATATATTTCAGTTACCTAATTCCCTTAATTTGTGTTGAATTTGACTTTTTAAACGGATGGCAACCCTCATTCATGTCAATTAGAAATGAGGTCTTTCACAGCCATTTCAACTGGTACCATTATTATTACCGTCGACAGATAGATCTAGTATGTACATAAATAAATGAAATCTACTATTTACATATGTATTTAAATTTACATAAATAATCTGATTTAGGGACTAAGTATATACATATATGCTTACCAATGTGCGTACGTACGGTTTAGGAAGGAAAAGTTCCCCAAAAGCTTTTCTTATTGCCCTTCAAGTTGATTGACATTGATGATTAACTTTTTTGGACAGTAGTAGTTGATAAATAAAAAAAAAAAAAAAACAGCTTGTAGTAATATTTATTTTTTGGTTAAGTATTTCACGAGCTTCCGCTACAAATTTTCGTTTTCTTCTCGACATTTTTACACAATTGGAGGCAATTACACATACATACATAACTACTTACTTCAAACCTTTTCGTAACCGAAGCGCACCCAAAAGGTCAATGACTGTCTAGGGATAGCCGTCATTTGGGAAAAAAAAAAATTCATATCCTTTTTGGATGCTGTTTGA